CCAAGGTAATGCTAAGTTAGCTTATCAGCCAGGTTATTTTGAGAACCATTGATACATAGTGCATTTTAAGAAATCATTGCCTTCCTTTAATGTTAATTAATGAGTATGACTTTAATCTTTTTGTAAGGCCCCTTTGGTTTTCTAAAATTTTGTTTCGAATTTGTATTAATTTAATCTATAACAAAATATAATTTCTTTATTTTCATAAATTCAGTTAAACGTGCTATACTTAGAAGAATAACACTGGAATGCACAAAGGAGTCAAAGAATATAACCAATTAGTTAATTTTATTGTTTCAGAAAAAGGATTTAAAGTTAGGGTTGTTTTTGAATATGAAAACAAAATGTAGCCTGGTCTGTTCTTATCATTGTCATTCATATTTATTGAGTCATTATCTGATTTTATACTTACTGTGCTAAAATCACTGACCAGTATTACTCACATTTTAATATTTCCTTTTTTATATCTTATTAAATCACTCTCAAAAACATTTACTTATTTGATAGACATAATTCATGAGTATTTTTTACTTGAGTCACAACAAGATAATATATGAATATTTCATCAAAATCTACTCAAGAAATTGAGGACTGTGCTTCAGAGTAGAATATTTATAGTATTTTAAAGCTCATTTTAATTTTCTGAAATAGCTTTTAACAATTGAAACTTGTTTGAGAAAGTTAAGTTAGAATTACATGGCAGGTAAAGGCAGAAATTTTTCCCCAGTTGGAATCAGCACTTTGTAAGTTTATATAGTGTTAGTATTGTAATCTGAGATAGGCATGCTTTAGAAATAGCTTTGTGTGAGGCCTTTTCCCATAGTGCTCTCTAAGGTTTTTTGTAGGCCTGCCAGTAAGATGCACTGCTGTTCCAGGTACGTACCATATAATGTGATGAAGTAGGATGTTCATGCTAAACTTTGTAAATAAAATTAGAATGACCATCATCATTTCCTTTCTTTAATTTATGTTGCAAAGTCAGAGTCTGTGTTACTTATTAGAGCAAAATTAGTTAACTATAAGCAAAGAAATACAAAGTTAGGTGAATCCTGAACATAGTAGCAGGTTGTACTGCTGAAAAATTTCTAAGGGCACGAGGAGATAGAGATCAATTTATTAAAGAAAAAAGCGGTCATGTCTCACATATGAAAAGGTCTAATTCTCTCATGCTGTGTGAGGTGCTCGACCTTATTGTAGAGTTTTGTATCAGTTTTCTTTCAGTAAAAAAAAAAATTCAATTCTAATATTATAGTCTGACCACTAGAACCATAAGTGAACTGATCGCCTTCTTTAAGTGGCTATAAAATATGGATTTAGATTTGTATAATATTCCAAATATTTTTCAGTTCATATACATTTACATGTAAAGATATTTTTTAGTTTTTTCTTACTAGCCATGTATTCATTATTGTCTGATAGAAGTTTATAGTAACGTTAATGAAATAGATCCATGTCCTTCACTAGTCTTATTTGTGAAAGATGATTTAAGAGACAGTGTGTAATTATTTTGTATAAAAATGCTCATGTAGGTGATTTGCACTAATTATTGTAAATTGAAAGGAATAAGAATGTATGTATTGGTGTGAATTGTTATTTTGATATTGGTAGAATGCAGAATGTTGTGCAAGCTTGTGTTATTCTAAAAGTAGTTTAACTAAAGGGCCAAAGCTCTTTTTTGCTCCATCTATTAAGATGTTTTGTTGAAATAGCTGGCCACCATTAGATAAAATGACCTATCACTATTGGTTCATAGATTTTTGTTAAGTGTTCAGGGTATTACTGAAGTTTTCATTTAGTAATACAAACATTCAGGACTAACTTTTTGATTTTTCTGGAATGAAGTTTTGTCTAGAAATGACAAAAAAAATCCAGTCTACCAATTCTCTTGATTTACAAAATTTAACAGGTATATTAGTATATATTTTTAGACAGTTCTTTATTTTGCTTTACATAGACTTTGAAGGGATCGAAGTAAATTATTTAATTGATTTAAAAATGACTTTTGTAAAGATCAGCTTCATCAAAAAGGTACATCCCCTTTTTAAGCATGTACTATGGATTTTGATTCTTCCTGAAGTTTTAACTTCTCATGTGGCTATAAGTTATTTATATAGGAGATGTGTTTAATTGTTTTAATTAGTTTGTAAAAAGTACTTAGTTTAGCCACCCCTAAAGGACTTACTAATCAGAAATTAAGAGAGTTAAAGAAACTCTTCAGAACACTGTCACCCTGTCTCATAGGCACTGGAGGAATAAATCAGTTGGTTGTTTCTTTCTTGTTTGCATACTGTCATATCCACTAAATGCAAAATTGATTACTTGTCATGTGGATCGTAACACTTATGAAGAGAAATCATTTTCTTCTTTTTTGTCTTAATCATATTCTAAGTGTTTTGAATACATCTAGAAATGTGTTTATTAATGCATTTATTAAGTAAGTGTAAAAGAACATATAAAGCTGCTTTATTATTTGTATCTGTAACCTGTGTAAAATCAGTATCTAGAAAGGTGTCTTTAGGAAGAAAGTAAGCCAACAGATTTCCTTTTATTATTTATTTGTCTTGTTTAAAATTTTAAGTGTCATAATACCCTATAGAGTTAATGTACAGTGTATATATTAGAGTCATTAAAGATAACTTTCTTGTCCAGTTTGAATGTTATTTTGAAAATTCAGTGTTTATAGTTTAGTTTTATCTTTTAATCTTTTAAGACATTGCCGTCTTATAATGTGCTGTTGGTAAAATAATTTGTTTTTATTAGTCATTTGTGGCATTTAATAAACTTCTGTGCTGTATCATTATACTTTGTGGGTCAATGGTTCTTTTTATAAGCTTTGTAAAAAACATTTTCATTCTTTTTTAATTAAGTATATGCTGTAGTGTGCTGCAATTACTATGTTTATAAATAGATATAGAGATAGATGTCATGAATAAAATTGTTTAATACCTACTTTAACTTGGTTACAGTTTCTAAGTAGTAGATGATTATAGATTAATATGAAAGCTCTGATTTTCAGGATTTTAAAGTAATCTAATTGTATCATAGACCTTGTTGATCAGTTAAATTTGATAAAGATTACAGAGTATTTTGTGTGTAGGTGAAGTTAACCAAACAATTATTTTGACTGCCTCAATTGTTGATTGATTTACTTGAGTTTATGTGTTTTAATTCTTGTGAACTCTGTTAGAGTTGATTTCTCAGGATATTAGTAGCACAGAAAGCTGTGGACTTCTTTCAGCTTAGTATTTAAGGGTAGAAAGAAGCAGACTTTTCCCACATGGAAATAATTTTAGAAATCTTAAAGGCAGCTTACTACATGTATTTTATTTTGCTTATTAGTCAAGTGCCACTAAGGTCGCGTGTTATTTCCTTTTTAATTTTCCTTTGTTGTAATTTGGAAGTTCATAGATTATTAACCATTTGATTTTGTTACTTTTTCTTGAAGTTGCAATTTTTACTTATTGACAAATGATCCAGAACTTTAGAAAATGTTTTCACCCTCATTTCTCTGGATCCATGAAAAATGCATGCCCACTGAGTCATTCAGAAAGGTATACATATGAAAGGATTAATCAATAAGGATTAGATTATTTTTAAATAACATGCACATTACATTATCTCCTGACAGAGCTATCATATAAAACTCTTTCCCCCTTTTCATTATATCTTGAAGGATAACTTGATTTTAGAAGTAACTAAAAACAGTATCATTGAAACAGTAATCTTTACTTGTCAGTTTGCCTAGTATTAATCGTTTTCATGGTCTGGTTTCTCAGCCAACTGTGTTATTGGGAAAATTATGCTTATATAAGTAACACAGACAATGTCAGGAAGTGACTTGGTAGTTTTCAAGCAAGTGAAGATCTTGAAGACGAGGGTAAAGTTGAATATAAGAAACAAAACAGCTAACTAATGTCATTCACTCCAAATATCAAAGGCAGCGTCTATAATTTAGACTGATGATCCTAACATGACAAAGATAAGCTATTTAATGTATTCCTCTGTTTTATCATTTAGATTTCCTGTTAAAGATCATTGAAGTGTTACTTTCACTTTGAAACAGTATACCCTTAGCTTTGTAGAAAGCTGAACCTTCTCATCAACTCAGAAATGCATACACTCTCATTCCCGTATGGTTATAAGTAATTTAAATCTTTATTGAAAGGTAAATAAGATCTGTAGACAAAGACCATGGATTTGTGTAAGCTTTTTGCTTATTCTCCTTATTTTACATTTAAAGCTATCTACATAATTAATTTTTTTTCTAATGCTAGAACAAAATTGAATACTTGTAACCTCCCTTTAAATGTATTCTGATGGTTTGCTTTAGTATATGAAGTCCTTAGTCCTACTTGATTTTATTTTTGTAGTAAACATTTTAAAGTTCATTTGAGTCTAAAAGTTTTAAAGAAATTTCTGAACTTTATAAAGAATAAATTGTAGAGAAAAAAATTGCACAAACTTTAACATAACTGTTTTAAACTTCGTTATACCTGAATGGCTTATGTTTCTTAACTTTTCTGAAAATCTTGATTTCCAAAATGGATCTTTCAGTGTTTTTTTTTTTAATATCCTGATCTGAATATTTTACTGCAATATGTAGATTTATAGATTCCTCTATTGTGATGCTTTCTTAAAGTCAGTTGTTTGTATGGTGTTTAAGAACAGCTCCTATTTTCCTAATAAAAGTTATTTAATAGTAATTTTACACTTATTCAAGTAATATGTGTTTTCTAAATTTTTACTCCTGGTTTCTTAGTTTTAGAGTCTTTCGAGTTTTAAGTCAGTTTGAGTTTTAAATCAGAAAGACAAACAATAGGTAATCTGAAAAATTGAGAAGTACTATTTTTGAATGAAAAGCACAAAGAAAATGAGTATAACTCATTCTCTAAGATGAATACATCTGTGTTATGTGTTGATAAATTTTGGTCGTGTTATTCTAATTGATGCAAGATTCTTTTTAAAACATTAAAGTAATACACATTTTTCTTCATTGTCAGCAGGATGAGATTGTCTGAAACGAAGAATAGGTATGGTAGTTTTCTTAGATTTTGTACATCATAGGTGGCAAAACACTATCAAAACAATATAAATTTTGCAGTATACTAGGAGAACTTTGAAAAAAAAAACCAAATGCCCTGAAAGTGACATATTTTGAGGCAATAATACTGATTTTGATTTCTTAGCATTTTGTATACTTAAGTATTTTGTTATTTAGCATTTAAAATTGTTTTTATTTGCTATAGATTATATTAACATGCTATAAACATTAGAAAGTTCACCTACAATCTGCCATCACTTGGAAAAAGAGACAAATGAACCAATTTGGATGGCATGGATAACAGCCTAGTATAATTCTATGGAGTCAGAAATTTTAAAAATAAGTACAGTGCTTTAGATTGAATGCATAATTATTGATTTATGTGTCTAGATGTTTTTATATTGATAGTTGATTAACTCCTGAAAGTTGTTGTGACTGCTTTGAGCACATGAGTACACATGCATTTACTCTTATGCTCTTAATACTCCTTACTGTCAGAGTGTTTCAAATGCTGCTCATGTATAAGTTGTATTATTGTTGCTTTTCTTCCTAAAACATTTATTTCAGGTTAAAGTTCTTTTGTTGTAAATATTAATTTAATAATCTTGTGAGCAAAGATAGACTTACCGGTGCTAAAATTGAAATGTACAAGAGTTTTTATTTTTGTGTTTGAAATAGATTGTTCTTATGTTACTTAGATATACCATGAGTCTGTTTACCCCGCAGGTGTGATGAGTGCAGACTTTGCTACCACTTTGGCTGCTTGGATCCTCCTTTGAAAAAGTCTCCTAAACAAACAGGCTATGGATGGATCTGTCAAGAGTGTGATTCTTCATCTTCTAAGGTAAGGGAGAGAGGTCTATTTAAAATAGGATTATTGAAGTACACATTGCCTTATTTAATGGTATGAAAAGCCAGGAGAAAATAATGATTTCATTGAAAAGGGCAGTGAACCAATTGCCAATAAATTTAGGTGGAAGAAGGTGAATATGACATTCCTTAATGTGTGTGTATGTATGTCCCCACTTTCCTTTCTTTATGGTTCTCACGTTAAATGCAATAGTTCTTGATTTTTACTTTAAAACTTTGACTTCCATATAGAAATTATTTTATAAATACAAAGCAGATGTTTACTCTTAAGTGTTGGCCTGAAAATGCAGTGCAGTTTTTTAGTGGGGAGGGACCAGTGCTGGGAATTGAACCCAACTCCAAGGGCAAGCATTTCACTTTCAACTTTAACTGTTAATGTTTTCGTTCAAATTCTATGTATTAGAGAAAACTGTCAAGCATTGTCATGTGTACTCTCAGTGGTGCTCATGTTTGTCTAGGAATTTATCTGTCTAGTAACAAGGTTTTTGGTTTTTTTTTGTTTGTCCCCCACGCCCTTTTTTTTAAATAACAATTTATCTGAAAGCAGAATCTATAAAGTATGGCATTGGTAGGTAGTACTTTTCTTGTCATATTAGTTCTTTATAAATTTGGGGAGTCATTTAGGCTTCACGATAGTTGGCCAAGGAGCCATAGCACATAGAAACTCACCAGGTTGGACTCTTCTGCAAATGCACTGACTAAGCTGTTCTCGGGGAGGGCGCTGTGCTTGCATCCAGTAGGACTAGTTCGTAGCTGTCTGTTGCCATGTATTACCTTTTCACATACCTGCTTTTTCCTGCACCGTGAAAATCCTATTCCTAGTCACCACTGTATGCCTGGAAAAGCTATGTATTTTTTTATTTGTCCACCTCACTTCTTACTTTTTCTTCCATCTCTACTTCCATTAGTCTTGCAGGCAAAGTAGCTGACTCTCTCCTCAGAGCCATCTGTCTTTTTCTAACAAAGACAATCACTCCTGAGTCCTATAAAAGTTTTCTTGCTAAAACGTTCTTTTATGCCAGTCTCACTTTCCTTAACCGACCACTGTTGCCTTGATTCACTGTCTTACTGTTTCTCAGTTTCTTCTACTTTAGAAGCTAGCTAAATAGGTCTGCCAGACTCATTCCCATTTGATCAGTTGTTTTCGTGAGAGACCTGCAGGTGAAGTATGACCAAAGTCATGTCAGTTTAATTCTGTATAACATCCAACTTAATTCAATCTGAATGTTTTATAATGCGCATTTTCTATAATATTTTATACTGTGTTTCAGTAGTAAAAAGCAGATATAGAACTTTGTGAAGATATGTTGGGGTGTATACTTAATGTTTGATAAATTATGTAGTATATTTAGATAGTAACTATCCTTCACTGTACTACTTACAGAGTAATCTTTACAAAAAATAAGATTGTCATACTTTTGTTGTAAATATGGTGGCATTTTTCTTACCCTCCTGCATATTTAAAATATAAGCAAAAAAGCAGAATATTAACATTGATACATTATTGCCATTTATCTTTAGACATCATTCAAGTTTCATCATCTGTTCCTTTAATATCCTTTATGCCAAAGGGACTTATTATAGAAATCATATGATTTCATTTTTGTTTTCTTAGTCCCAAATCTAGAAAGTTTCTTTGTTTTCTTATAACTTTCATTATCTTGGCACTTTTGAAAATTATGGGAGTAATTATTTTATAGGATACCTCTCACTTTGCATTATAGTAATATTTTTTTGTGATTCAGATTCATTTTATGGACCTTTGATAAGATGTAATCAAGTGTATATTCCACACATAATTTTGATTAGAAACAATGATGTTAAATTTTAATCACATGACTGAGTTGTTACTCTTCTCTATTCCCTACTTCTTTCAAATTAACAGGTGATGTTTTGGAGAAGAACATTGAAACTGTAAATAATCTTACTCTTCATCAAACATTCTTTTTATTTTCTGTATTTTTTTAGTACAAGGTCTACAGGGTCTCACTACAAAGATCGGAGTCATAGCGATTCTCCTGTTGTCTGCCTCCCAAGTGCTGAGATTGCAAGCTCGCCCCACCACTCCCAGTCTCAGTCACTGTCTCAGTGGCCTGTGGGGGCAGGGCCGGCATGGCATGCCAGAGATTGAACCCCTGCGTCTGCCTAAGCAGGCGCTTTAATCTACTGAGCTATTTGGCCTGGTCTTTCAAACTTTCTTTTTCTGTTTTATTCAGTAGGTTATGATGGTTATTATCATTATTTATTTTGATATTCAACTTATCTTAAATTTGGGCCATGGAAGCCAAATTTTGATACTCTTCGTCAATTCTTTATTGAAGGTATTCTAGGCTTTTGCTCCCTGGTCTAGGAACCCGGTATTTATTTCTCTAAGGAAACCTTGCTCCTTTTAATGGAAAACAACAATTATCTGATGTATTCAAATGTACATACAGTCATACACAAATTTGTGTCTGTATTTCTATTTTTTTATCATTTCAGTTTTCTCCCTTTCTCATGTTGTGTAGAACTCCTTGTGTGACAAAAAATTGCTTCCCACTGACTTTAGTACGCACTCTGAGATGATTGCTGCCCCACGGACACCTGTGTTGCTTACCGCCTAGGGACTTCTCACTGAAGTGTTCACAAGGAGGACAGAGAAGGGATGAGGGTGGACATGTGTGCACAGTGGCCATAAGTAATTGTCATAGATGGACAGAGTAACGACAGTTGTTTTTATCTGTTTCATGACATTTTTAGTTATTAACATAATTTGATAGCAAGAAATAATGTTTTAGAATTTGAAAATAAATATATACAATGTTCATAACCAACATCTGACTTAACAGATTCACATATTAAAACGGTGTGTCCTTAATTAGAAGATATAAGGTTGAGTTAATGTTATAGACATTTTAAAGTAAGGTGTAGTTCACTATTCAGTCTTCTCTAGTACTTGATGTAGATCTGAACAAATTTTGAGTGCTAACTCACCCAAGATGAAGATAGCTTTGTGTCTTGATATGGCTAAATGAATTTGAATAAGTATTTCTTTTTGAAGTGTTTCCTCTAAGCCATGTATATTCGTAGGCTTCACTAAGGACTGACATATGCATCTACTTTATAGTGGCTGTGGCAACTACTATTCTACCTTTGCATTCTTTTTTTTTTTCCCATAATTTTATTGAGAAACAGATAGCAGTGAGATAGTTTCAAAGCAAATTGGTAGGACAGTTTCAGTAATTAACACATTGCATACATTCTCTAGTGGTTAATTGCTATACAAGGTGCGGACATGATATCCTATTTACAAACGCCATTAGAACAAATCCTTCTATTCATTAAGAGAATGTAACTATATATCTATCCTAACCACTTTGAATACACAGATACAAAATGGATATTCATCTGTATCCCCTTTTTTTGTTAAGTGCCATTACTTGAATATTATAGGTGTGTAAACTCAGCACAATATTCTAAAAGTTCAGTAGTTCATAATAGTATTGGGTCTTCCGCTTCACTGGCAATGTCAGAAATTGTTGACCTGAGTCCCCTATAGCTCAACAGCATGGCTTTCCTTCTTATATTTTGTTTTTATACTTTTCTGCTGGATGGTTAAGACCAAGGTAAAGCAGGACCTATGTGACAAGAGTTGTAGCAGTTAATTGGAAAGATTCTCACCCTGACTAACTGTATATACTGACACCTGTGAACTAAGCTACTGCACTGCAGATGGTAATCTGTAATAGTAGGTTCATGCTTGGAGTGTCTGTCATTCTGGTCTTCTGAATATGGGCTGCTTGTCATGACATGCCAGTTGCTGCCGTGCTGTCTCTCGGGTAGAGGACTGTTCAAAAAGAAGGTGGTGAATGAAGGCAGGAGACAGGAAAAGGAGTGCTGCAGGACTGCCCTGCTACGAGGTTGTGTTTGGTTAGATGTTTGGACTTATGTGTAAACATAAAAAATATATAATTCTTTATGCCTATTTTTAAAAATATATTCTAATTTTTAAGTTTTTTCATCATATTCTGTAGGGACTTAAAGCACCTTTGCATTCTTGTGTGAGTTGTGTTTTGTGAGATGCCACAGAGAATACATGACAGCTCATTATCTGACTACTACAAGATAAACTGTCTTAGCTTGAAGACTTCCATTTGACTCATTGTTATCTTATACCAGTGAATAAGATCCAATATACTACATTTTGTATAGTACTACATTATTCAGTAGAATAAGCACTTGCCTGGCAAGCGCAGGGTCCTGAGTTCAATCCCCAGTGCTGTGAAAAAAAAAAAAAAAAAAAAAAACCAAAAACTTAGAGCAGGAAAATTATAGTATTTTGAAATTTTGTTTTCTCATTTTCTGCATTGTGTAATTAGAAGATCACAGCTGATACATCAAAATTATATATGCATTTTTAAATAAAACACCTATTAGAATTGTGCTTCTTTAAGAACTTAACAGAGTAGAGGAGTCTCTCTAAGGGGTTTCTCGCCACAATACATTAAACAAGTACATTTAATCGAATCTAGTAAGACTGGAAATTGAATGTCTCAGTTTTATGTATTGTGAAGATTTATGAAAAATATAAAATTAAAGTGAATTATCATTTAAAGTTCTCTTAAATTTGAAGTATATAACTGACCCATAAAAAGGACTTTTGAATATTTTAACTATTCATTTGACCTCTGGGATTTTCTGTGATAGTTCATTGAGTTTTAAGTTTCTGAATTTAGCATCATGGCAGAAACAATTTTCAGGTAAAACTTAACACCACTTAGCTAGCTAAATTCATTGTTCTTCTTGTATTTGTTTAACAAGCACAAGAGCTTACTAAAATGTGCTTTTCTGAGCATAACCTAATTTTGACTTGCCTTTTAGCTGAGACAGGTAAAAGTCTAGGAACTAAAATTATTGGTAGTGTTTCCGACAATCCTATAGAACAGATCTGTAATGGGCGGTTGGTAAGCTTACTGAAACCCTGCAAATGAAAAC